TATCACTGTCACCAACATCAACAATTAGTTCTTCTGTTTGTATGTCTATTACTTACTCACTGATCCCTGCTTTTAAATATTTAATCTACGCCCCTGATAGGAATACTGAAGAATGAGGGCTGCAATCTTTATACCTAAAACTGCCTACTTTTGCCACCGCGCATCCACGCCATTTTAAAATTTCCGCCAGCTTCCAGCGTCAGGCCTGTATCTATATGATTTTCTATTGTAATCTATGAGCGTTCAGAATAATACATGCACCTTAGTAAAAATTACTTACAAATTACTTTCAAAATAATTCTTTTACTGACTGCTGGAGGTACATCATTGCTGGCTATACAGAGGTAGGCCCCCATTTGCTTTCTATCCAGCTGAAAGAAGTTAAGTTCACTTCCATTGAAGATATCCACTGAAATTTGAAATCAGAATAAATATCAGTGGGTACTTAAAATGCCTCACAGTATAAGAATAACACGTCAGTTAATTTAATCATGGCGATATCGGGAGCTATGAATTGCATCAATCAAGCTGGCAAACAAGAAAGACTAATAACTGTATGGATTGCTTATCATATTGCGCGTAACGTAAGAGTGTCGCTAACTAAGTAGTGGTCGTTCATATGCGCATATGCCGCCCAGTAAGACAGTGCGCATCTCATTTGATGCGTACGCAAGAAGGTTTTGCTTATATTTTGTGTTGGCAATACCGAAATTGATGCATGGTCGCTCATCGCGCAACGAACGAAGGTGCTTTCTATTTTTTATTAGTGATGATTTTATGGTATTTCGTAAACCAAAAACTCATTTTTCCCCCCTCGCACCCAACCCTTTTCCCAACTCAATCCTCTTCCCACACCCAACCTTTCCATTTCCTTCCCGGGGATGTGCAACCTTCGGGTATATCTCCCGTAGGAAAAATTTCCATTGAACTTCAATGGGAATCAATGGAAAATTTTTAAATTCCATTCAAAACCATTTGGCATAAATGGAAAAATAATTGTTTCCATTTGCAGTAATTCGATCCTTGTGATCTCTGCCACTCTAGGTACTGAAAAATCTGCTGCCCTCCTTCAGGGACTTGTGTTAGTCTGGTTTCTTATGTTTGAACCAACGACCCTGCTTCCAAAATCAACGAAACTCGCAAGCCGATCCACTCTAGTTTGTACAAAATCTTCGTCCCTTCGGATAGGAATTTGTTGCCTTTTTTGTTCTTTTAATTTGTACGAAAACAGTAGGATTTCCCAACTGAAAGGAGAGAAGCGACGTAAGGGGGGAGGTATGCTACAGAAAAATAGAATGCCCTTGATAGTGGACACATACAACTTCTAAAAATATTCACGAACATTGACATTAAATTGAGTGCTTTGTTCAGTCACCATAAAAGTGAAATGTTTTAATTACGTAGATAAACAGCTACTACGCGCAAAATTATATTCAACGAAACCCTAAAAAGGCATAATTAATTTAACGTAGGTACTTGTCTTTGTTTTTACTATTATACTTTGTCCATCCGTTATAATTGTGTCGTTTCGGAAATTATTTTTAGACTTCATGAAAAATTTGGGTTCAGCTTATTAGCCGTTGTGACACCTACTCGACTTATAATTCTTTTACGACCCGCATTATACTCCTGAAAAAAAAAAAGGTTTTTAAAGTGTGTTCTTTGGCAATGAACGTAAATTGCGATGATAAAGTGGAAAGCCACAATGTTTTTCTTATCTTCTCGTTACATGCTCCAACGTTCCCGTAGGTAATTATTAATTTCTCGCAACGGAATTACCAGATTATGAACACATTGTAACCTAAATAAGCACACGCGGAATTTCATCGCATTTAATCGTGTGTAGCTACTAATAACCACAACTGATCGATCAAATGTTATCACAATAATGACTGTCTTTATTATGACATCAATTACTTATTTTCGTATGCTATATCTATAATCCGTAATTTTTTATTTAAATTTATTTACAAATCAACGAAACTGCTAAAGACAACCACCCGTCTTTATGATGGGGTAGTGTTAAATTTCTTCCTAAAGGGGTGATTTTGTGGGTGGGTGCGTATGTGTGTGCGTGTGTGTGTGTTTGTGCGTGTGTATGTGTGTGTGTTCGCGTGTATGTGTGTGGGTCTGTATATGCGTGTGTGTGTGTGTGTGTCTGCGTGTGTATGTGTCTGTATGTATGGGTGCGTGAATACGTACGTGTTTGTACATATGTGTATACAGTGTTCGTTCCATAAGTAATGAGTAAATTTACAACTCAACTGACTCATTTGACTCCGAGCACTCAAAGTTGAAGGATAAGGATAATGTTCATCGTCGAAAAGGCTGAAAAGGGCGGTCACCTTAAATAGGTATTTGGGGATTCGTCCTAGTGGCGCACCACTAAGTAACCCCGTTTAAAGAAAGCTCGCATAAGCTAATCCAAGACAAAGATAATGTTCATCGTCGTTTTTGGAGTCGAGGAGACCTTTAACTACGAGCTTGACCCGTCTGAATAGACCGTAAATGCTGCCTACCACTTGGAAGTTCTGAAAAGGCGGAAAATGGCGGTTACGCGCAAGCGAAGTAAGATCCAAGACATCTGGAAGCTCCACCACAAAGCGCCTCACGCACCTCCTTCGCCATGATCGATTGTCTAACCTGGGTCGATATTCCGGTGGACCCCCAGCCTCCGTACAGTCCGGATTTGTCATCTACAGACATTTTTCTCTTTCCCTATTCGAGAGCAGCCCTTAAAGGTAATCACTACGACTCGATAGAGGACATCCAAGCCAATACCTTGGCAGTCCCTACAGATATCCCGGAACAGGCTTACGCTGACGCTTGCGCAGCGTGGAAAAGTCGCCTAGAAAAGTGTATCGACGCGGAAGATGCATATTTAGAAGAATATTGATCAGTTATACTAATCTGCTCAATAAATATGTCGGCTCATTACTTATGGAACGCACCTTGTATTTGTGTTATTTATGTAATTTTTTGTGTGATATGTTATTTTAATGTAATATTCAGGTTGTCGAGATAGTTGTCGTACTTATTTGTGATGGAGATTGGGAGTTTTTGCCAGATGTTTGGCAAGTGGGTTGGGTAATATGTTTTTCGGCTTGCGTTTGAGTCTGTGTGAAAAGTGTATTAAGTTTTTTTTTTTCTTGTGAGATTGTCGTTCTAAATATGTAACTCTTTAGAATCTTGTTTGTAGATAAACCTCCTAAATCTCACGTTGAGAATTTATCAGTTTTATGTTTTCCTGTATTCACACAAGATTGTTTACAACTTCAGACAATCTTTAAATGCATTTTCTGTGATAAAATTCAGTAACGTAAAACGTAACGTATAAATAAAAATGCAAGATGGAACGGCGGGCGTTTGGAAACATCTTCATGAATATGATAACGCGCATTTGATACGCTACCGAACATGATGTTAGACATTAGCTCCTGTTGGACATGTACTCGTACGGCAGCTATACGACATACACTATAAATGTAATACGTGTATAGGTGCATCGATAAGGAGCAGACCAACTTATCCTTCCCACGACATAAAATGCATCGTCCTTTGCAAACTCAAATGCGACTGTTATTTATTCATCGCATAATAGGTACCTTTCTTGCAAAACGGCAAAAATTATGGAAAAGATATTGTTGTCTCCTTAATTTGATGAGTTATATGAATGCACTTTTTCGATAACCGTCTTCGATTTTTTCTACCTACCTCTCTTGTGCTTCTTGTGTTTCTGCATCTGATCCTTTCGAATAATTCGTACATGTTCGCGAAATGCGTTTGGTTATTTATGTTTTAATATCCGTTTGCTTGCGTTTGAGTAGATCGGGAGTAACCAATGTTAGTGAAGAGGAATGTACGAGAAAGGACGGAATATGTAGGGTTGCTGATAGTTTGCAAGGAGCTTACCAAAAAACAGGTTCCGGTGTCGATGTCCAATGTAAAGATGACCGCAATCCTGAACTCGATGCTATAAAACTGGATGATTTTAGTCCTTGTTTTGTGGTAATCCTTTCACAAGTATCCGGCTCGAAGGACCAAAAATGTTGTCGCCGTAGTTTGACGACTTATATGAATGTACCGTTTTGAATGGCACGAACAGCCTCGATAAAGATAATTACTGGATATTTATTAACATTAAACGACCGAATTCAAAGCACAACATTTAAACGAGTAGATTAATAAACTAAACAAAAATGATTATAGGAATTAAGTTAATGTAACGAATAACTAAGGCAGTCAATATAAAGTAGGGGAGATAAGTTGGTCGGACACCTTATCAGGCATGACGGTCTAGTCAGAGACATATTAAAGGTATAAATAGAAGTTAAGAGAAGTAGAGGTAGATCTAGATTAGACTACTGTTCGCAAATAGTTAAAGATGTGGAATGTTCTAGTTTTAGGGAAATGCGAAGATTAGCTCAGGATAGGAAGGAANCTCTGTTTTTGTGTAAAGCATTAAAGAAATGTTTTTAAATATATATAGTAATTGACATATGAACTCTCAAAGAAGGTGTTTTACTATTGTAACATTGAGCTTGATCTAAGGAGCTTGAGTTAAAGTAATTATGGACAGTGATTACTAAAAATGGTTGCATTGTGGGTTGGCGAGTAACGTATCCAAAGAGGACATTTTTAGAAGTATTCTATAGGGTAAACAATATAGGGGAGACCGGGGTAAAACGGGGTTCTGGGTAAGACGGGACAAGCGTTAATGCACATAACTCGTATGCGTGTATGTGCCCTCGACAGAGCTATTCGGATGAAATTAGTCGCCTTACATGAGTCAGTCGGAAGGGTACAAGTCGCTATTCTATTTTTTGGGGAACACTCTGAGAAGAAACGGAATTTGTTCATGATTTTACAAAGTTTTGTTACAAACACTGACCTGCTGTCAGGCAAGTAACTAAGTTTTAGCAACATTTTCAGAGAAAGATCGTAGCGGTAGTATCGAAATTTGATATTAGCTGTAACCTTTTAGGTTAGAAGTGCTTGGTTTAAATACAAAATATATTTGTTGGGGTAAAATGGTCGGGACATAAAGTGATACTAAATCTGGAACGAAACAAACTAAAAAGCCCAAGAAATAATGTGCATTTCAAGAAACACTTAAGTGTTCCATTCCCATCAGCTTCTCATGCTGGTGGGCGGGCAGTCCCTCCCAACTATGGGTGGATGGCCGTTAGAGTATCAAAGATGAGACAGAAGAAATGAGGGGAAGTGATAGACCGTTATTGTTACTACTGCCCCAGCATTTGCTTAAGTGATTAAAATATGTATATGCTCCTTTACTTAAAAATGTAGGGATGAGTTACAGAGATAGAAGAGTGATACTTAGTTTGTATAAAGAGAAACAGGCAGTTATAGAGCTGGGGCTGCAAAGTGGAGAAGTAAATATTAGGAAGG